AATAGGTATTGTATAGTTCATCATCCTTTATAATTAGATTAGTATTTAATGTATTATTGTTTTTTAGAGAGAATTTAAAAAGAATAGATATAGATGAATAGTAGGTATAACCTGATAGTCATGGGAAGAAGTAATTAGGTAAGGGTTGAGACACATTTGGTAAGTATATATAACATTTACTATAGTCAAGTTTCATTACTAGTCTGAATGTATAGTTAAAATTATTGTATTGTGTAAAGTTGTATTGATAAATGTGTTTTAAAAAGGAGTTGAGTGTTTGTGGATGTGAAAGTAAGGGTAGCTTTACACGTATTAGCCATTGATTGTAGCATGAGTCTGGGTCATAAATTAGTTCTTGTGATGCTTTCTTGATATTTGATGATGAAATAGAATTCAAGGAAGTAGAAGATTCTTCTGTAGATTCACTCACCATATGCTCAGCTCTCACAGCTGCGAAGAGTGCTATAGCCTGCTCTGTACATTGAGTCTGGCCATCATTAACTTGGTTCTTCACGTAAATGAACTTAATCACCTGTTCACTTACATCATTCTCTTCTGAAAATAGCCATTCTTAATAGGAGACATCATGATTCCAGAAGTGGTGGCTGCTTTTATGAGTACTACAAAAGAATTTATTGAAAAGGAACCTCTTCTTCATTTTTCAAGAAAAGAGACTCCTTAATTGAAATGGGTATTTCAAATTTGATATTGAATTTGTTATATAATATTGTTTTTGCCTCTAGTAAGGCTTTTTTTTTATAGATTTTAGTTATTTCAGAATAGTTTGGAGAATTGCCTCATATGTAATCAAAGTATGAGATAACTTAGGCTAGAAAGTCAGTATCAATTAGTTTTGTTGTAAGGAACTCAATAGCTTGTTGTTTATCCATTTTGTCAATATTGTGGTTTTGAGCAGCAGTATTATGATGTATGGATAAGTATTGATAGAAGTAGAAGCCTTGTCATTTAGGATTAGTCTTAACAGCATTAGAAGAGCAAGTATACTCTTCTGCCTTTATTACAAATTTATCGAGGGTTAAACTAGAGATTGGTTTTGTGAATATGGCTTCATGTTTGCCTTTAATATAAAATATGAATGCATCAAGAAAAGGTTCATTTCATGTTTCAGTATCTTTTTTGGGATAGGTTTTGTAGGATGTTTCAAATATATCTTTAATAAGTGTAGATGAGTTATGTGTAGGTTGTAGTATAAAAGTTTTCTTTGAATTAGTATCAGCTTCTTTTGTTTTTCCTTTTGTATCAGTTAGTTCAAGGTAGGGACATTTAGAGTCTATACAAGTAAGTACATAATAGTTGGCATGTCTGAAAGTTTCGTAACATCATTCTTGAAGATTAGTTGGTTTTATGAATTCGATATTAGTTGGCAAAAGATTTTTAAGATGTAAGATAAAATGTTATCTGAATTCATATTTAAGGTAGTTAGATACTTTGGTTTTGTTAATTGTATTAGAAAATTGTCAGCTATATAATAAGAAGGCTTTTTCAAACCATTCATTAAAATAACTAAGTGAGTTTTTAAGTGATGGTATGTTATATTTGTCAAGGAAAAGAGATTTTGGAAGATTGAAATTCAGTTTGATATTGAAGTGGTTATCTATTTTAATAGAAAGATATTGTTGTTCTTTGTCAAAATTAATAACCTCAGATGTTATTTTAAACCTTTTAGGTCTAAGTTTAATATCTTCAGCAAATTTTGTGTAGTTGATTGTTTGATAATTATTGGAAAGGTATAAATATAAGCGAGCAAGATTGAGACAAAATTGTAAACAGTTCTCAGTTTTAATTGGTAGGATTGTTGCAGGAGAGGTAAATATTTCAGGGTAATTGAGTTTAGTAAAGAAAACTATTGTGAAAATATGAATAAGTTTTTTAAGGCTTTCTTCTAAAATATTGAAAGGAATTGTTGCAGCTTTATTTGTTTCAGAATTGTGTTTTTGGATTAAGTTAATAAGGAATTTTGGTCTAGTACCAGCCATTTGTCTAATCAACAAATAGAAACTAGCTTTAAGTATATATTTAGTTTTTGTGGCTTTTTTAAGGACTTTATCAGGATAAAAGTTATATAGATGTTCTTTAAGGAAATTAAAGAGTTGACATAATATCTCGGTTTCTAATTTTGTATAGTTTTGCATTTCATCAGTGACTGGAAAGTTTGCTAACCAATCAAATGATAGGTTAAGTTTAGGTCTTACTACTTGGCTGTAGGATTGTTATTATTCGTTATTATTTATTTTGTCTATAGTAGAAGTAAGAGGTATAAGTTTGGAAATAAGAGGATTTATGATAATAGGTTGTTTTTGATATGGGTTTTGTTGTTTTTTATTGATTTAATTGATTTTATTTTGTTTTAATAATTCTAGAAATTTTTTGAAAGTTGGAATTTTCTCTTCTTTAGATAGTGTAATAAATTTAATTACAAGAACAGTTTGAATTTATATAAGAGTAAGTAGTTTGATTTGAATAATAGGTTTGAGTTTAAGTTTATGAATACATTTAGAATATGCTGGAAATCCTTTAATAATAAGAATAGATTTGTCGAGAAATGAATATGTATTATTTTCTAAGAAAATACATAAGATGTTTTTATTTTGACAAATAATACAAGTATGTGCATGATGAGAATGTGCTTGGATTTGGGGAGTTTGTTTTGAACTAGATGAAGTTTCTTGTTAAGTTGTAGAATAGTTTAAAGAGAATGGTAATAAAGAAATAGTAGTTGTTTTTATAATTAGTGATTGAGGAATAATTTTTTTAAGTTGTTTGACTTGTTTAAGTGTAATATTAATATCTATATATATGGATTTTTGAGAAGAAGGAAGAGGTGTTACTTGTCTGGGTAGGATGTTAAGATTACTAGAGATAAAGAGAATATGGAATTTTTGACAATAACAATGGACAATGGTAGGTTAAGTAGGAGTTTTAAAGTAGTGAAAAGATTTAGCGATATTACATTCAGATAGATTAAATACAAATGACATCACTTTAAATTGTATAGGTTGCACTTTTCTAATCATTATACTATAATGATCATTATACTTGTTATGGAAATAGTCAAGATCAAAATGATCTGAATCTTGGGAAGTCAAAGTAGACATTCTATTTGATAGAGAAAGTAAAATACTACAGATATACTTAAGAATGAAAGTTAATATTACTTAGTAAAATTTTTTGTTATTAACTATTGAAGTTTTTAATATATAAGATTTATAATAGCGAGGGTTGGCTTGATAGAGGTATGATGTAATATTGCGGCTACTGTGGCTGCTGCGGCTGCTACGGCTTTATGTAACCTTGAGAACAATTTTGTATAACCTATGTAACACAATGTATGGCTGGTGTAACAAGTGTGGCTTAATGTAACAATTTAGTTACACATCCCAAAAAAGCTTTGTAATAGTATACAAAGTCAAATTAGTAAAAGAAGAAAAACCAATAAAAAATTATATGCTATTTTAAGTAATATTGATTAGTTTATTATGAAAACGATTATAGTAATGATTTAATATTACACAAAAATCATGTAAGAGAAAAAAAGTTGGGAGTAAATGAAAAAGAATTTTTAAAGAGTTTTATAAGAGAGTTAAAGTTATTTTTTAAAGTATCTTCATTAATATTAGGTCTATTGAGTTCGTTTAGACCTTGTTTTGATCAAAGAAATGAGGTTTACAACTTTTTTTAGAACTATAGAGTGAGTTATAAAGCTAGTTATGGAGAAATAATTAAAGAAAGAGTTTAGAAGTCCAAAGGTCGTTATTGTAGTATTAAACTACAAGTTTAAGAGCTATCTTTTTAAAACTTTCAGAATATATGTAAAATTAGTAGTTGAATAAGTTTGCTTAAGATGGCAAAGTTAGTTATCTTAATAAAATAACCAAATATTAACAATTTTAGTACTGACAAATTTTTAATAATTTTGTATAAAAAAAATGTACTATGCAGAAACTTCAAATTTTGCTAAATATAATTATATTATTATTATATTATTTTTATATATATATATTTTTTTTATTTAAGTAGTCATGTTGGTATACTTTTATTAAAAAAATATTAACATTGTTGCAATATTATATGCTTAATTTCTTAGTCTCAACTCTCTCAGTTACTTTTTTGAATACTCAGAAGCAACTTACCATATTAGGCAATAATGAGTTACAACTTGGAAGATTATTCCTAACTATTATCTTATAATAGAGTATTACCAAACTGATAACATTTTCTTATAGAAAAATAAAAGAAAAAAAAATACTAAACTAAATTAAAAAAGATTATAGAAAATAAAAAGAAAAAATAAAACTGTTGAAAGGCACACCTTATTCATAACTATTCCAGTAAGGTCACTAATATTTTAAACCTATATTAATGATTTAATTATACTTTAATCTATGTTAAAGAAATAAAAATTCTATATATATGATTCTAGAAATTACTATATATCTCTAATTTACTATAATCCTCTAACTTAAATTCTTCTTTATTTTTTTATTACATCATATATTAGACTGTATACATGATTGTTGTATTCTTATTACATCATGTTACAACATATAACTGTTTGAAAAAAGAAGTGGTATACAATGTCAATCTTTTGTAAAAGAAAATTAAATTCTCCATTTTTAGATAGAAAAAACAAAATAGATAAAAAAGATCAATAAATATAATATGTAAAGAATCAAACTAAAGAGAATATTTTATTATTTGTTTTGTTTTCAAGTTTCTAATAACTTTTAACTAAAGTTTTCTCTATTGTTTTCAGAATTTCTTTCTGGTTTGAATACTAAATATGTTAAAGAGTCTATCTGTAGAAAGATTTAACCTTAACACAAACTATTAGAAGAGTCATCTGCATCTTAATTTTTTTATATACTTTTAGTTTATTAATAACAATTTGCTTTATATATTAAAACAGAATTAAAGATATCATTTATATAAAAACATAACTCTTCAAACTGTTTTGGTGCTAATTTAGTTTAAGTGATCATTAGAAAGAATGAATTATATATTATTATTATATTATTATTATACGTATTAATAATATTATTATTGTTTACTTGTAAAGATGATGTATTATGTTTTTGGATTATTGAAATTAAGTTATTACTTTTTTTGTTGTTATTATTTATTTTGTGTATAGGCAAAATATTCTTCAGTTGGGTTCTGGAAGAGGTGAAAATATAAGAAGGAATTCAGAAATTTCTTTTATTGTATAGTGTTCTCTTAATATTTTTAATGTTTCTGTTACTTTGTTTTATTGAGTAATAGGTAATTCTATATTTGACATTTCTATATCTTTTGTATTCAGTTCTTCTTGTATTTTTTTGATTAAGTCTAGAATTTCAGGTTTTTGATCTGATAATATACCAGATTCACTGTCTCGTAAATGTGCACTGTTAGTTATTTGGATCTAGCTATCTGGTATTTTTTGGAAGTATGTCTTAGCATTCATGCTATTTCTATAAGTCTTTTAGATGTATCGATTGGTAGGGTTAGGTTGTAGTCTGTAATTTCAGAGAGGTTTACAGATAGTCTGGGTTTATCAGTTGGATTTACTGTCATAATTGTTTCTGGAAAAGGTATAGTAAGCTTGTATATACTTTTGATTTCATTTATGAAGTTTTTTGCTAATATATTATTAGTAATTAGAAAAGATTAAGTATTTATAGTTTTGATTTTAGAGGAGTCTTTTGGAAGGTTTGGTTTTGCTTTAAAGTAATCATTTGGTATGACTTGAAAGGTATAATGCTTTCTTAACCATGCTGTTATATCTTTCATATCTACTAGAAGGTTTGCTCTATCGATTGGAAAGTGTTGTCTAAGTTGTAGGTCTTCTATATTTTGATATGCCTATGATAAGAGGGGATGAGTAGTAGTAATCTAAAGTAGTGACTGGATATTTCTTTACAATCATAATGGTCTTGAAGTCATCTTTTATAGTAGGCAAGTCTTGTAAGTTCCCTTCTTTGTATAATTGGGAATAGGTTTTTTATTGCTTCATCTAAGTCTTCTGGATTTGTTAGTAGGAATAGAAGTTTGGCAAAGTAGGTTTCTGAAAGTTGTTCAAAAGAATAGATTTTATATAAAGCTGTAACAATTGCTCTTGTCTGTGATTTATGTTTAATTGGTAAAGTAAAAAGGAGGATATTTTGTATTTCTTCTGAAATAAGTTCTGATAATTTTGGTAGTTTTGCTAAATATGATGTTAAGGCATTATTTAATGCTTCTTGAATTGTTTCTGTATCTATTGCATTTTCATCTTTTGTAAAACCCTTGTAATATTTTAGGACCTTTGCTATATGTTTGGGAGGTCAAGTCTTAAAGTTCAGATTTGTTGTGTAGTCTATAATTAACTTTTGTCTCAGTTTTATATGAATTAGATTTCAGGTATCTTTGTTAGTAATAGTAATTGCATTAGTGGTTTTGTAATTTTTTAGTGCCTTTGTAAACATTTGGTTGTATTCTGTTTGGTGTAGTGACATGAATCTTTTGGCATAGGTAAAGGTTGTGAAGAAGGTTAGATCAGTATGTCTAAATTTTGCTTCAGATGCAGGAGGGATTGGTCTTTTAGTTGGCTTTGTTTGTAGTTTGTGTTTAATAAATGCTTGCATCTTTTTTTTAAATTTATATATTTCGATTACATTATCATATGATCATTCTTTGCTATTAAAAGGTGTATTGATTTTGGCCTCCAGATTGTCATTTACTTGTTGGGTCCATGTTTCTGTATAGTTAGTTTCCATTTCTGTCATATCACTTATGCTTGCATCTTTTTGAACTATTTGACTATATGTAGGTTTGTTGTTTGTATTTAGCATCATGAGGTTGTTTGTTTGTTCTATTTCTGTATCTATTTGGTTGCTTTGTTCTAGTTCTGTGGCTTGGTTACTATTTGCTATTGCTTTGTAAAGGTTTTATATTTCTATTGGTGTAGGTTCTATGTTGTGTTGGTTACTTATTTCTATATCTGGAGTTTGATTCTGTAGCATAGTTGTTTGATTTTCTTTTATGGCTATGTGAGCTTGTAAGTTGTACAAAATGATTACTGTATTGTTTTTTTTTCCTGTGATGTTTATTGTGATGTTGCTGTTGCCAGTTTGAGTTGTATTGTTGTTGTGCTGGTTTGCTTAGGATGATGTCATTGCTTGATTTGTAGAGGGTATGCTATATTGCCTACTTTTGTTACTAGCTGGAATTTGGGAAGGAACAGTATGTCTTTTTTTGTTATACACATCTTTGTAAGTAGCATCTAGCTTGTTACGATGTTGTTGCTATCTAGTAGGATATTTGTGGTTGCTGCTCATTGTGCCTGGAGTTTCTGTTCTATAAACTTGCAATACTATTGGCCTTGATAGTCTTAGTTTACCTTTATAATTAAATATATTGAATTTTCTTTTTTTACTTTTATTTTGTAAAGTTAAAGTAGTTGTATCTTTGCTTTGTATCTTGTATAAGTAGTTTTTTTGCCCAGAGTAGGCTTTTTTATTTAGATTTTCTTCTATTATATTTACTATTTTTATTTTTTGTTTTTTGTCTCTGTTGATTTTTTATATTTTGAGATCTGCAGATGAGAGTTTTTTTTTTTTAGTAAAAAATACTCTTTCTCTATCTTCAAAAATTAACTAGAATGCTACTTGGTTTTTTCTTACAAAAGATCTATATCTTATATTAGTTTTACTTTATATTAAAAAAAAATATTTAAGGATGTGGGTCCTATAGCTTAGCAGTTAAGCTCCTATACCCTTCATAGTCAAGATCAATAGTTTAAGTCTGACTGAAGGCAAAATTGAAGATTTTAGTTTCTGTAACCTAATAAGAAGTTTGTAATTGAATGTGAAGCTCTGTGGTTAAGTTTAAGTGCAATACAATAATAGAAATAGAAATTCCCAGAAGGAGACCCAATCGTAGAGTACAGGCACTATGCGTAACAAGTAATTGTTACAGAAGGTTACAGTTATGAAAAAATTGTACATGTAAGTTTTTTAGACTAGAGCAGCACCAACATCCTTATACCTCCTAATATAGGCAGTACCAACATCCCTGCATCCAACTTGTAGGGTACTTGCTTGAAAAGATAATCAATAGATTATGCAAATAGGTCTTA